CGGGCTGGACTCCACTTTGTCCACGGTGAAAGCCGATCCGGCGATCGACGGTGCGAAGTTGAAGTATTTCCTCAGCGACCAGCACGGATCAGCTCCAGGCATGACAAAGCGATATCGTCCTTTTTTGGAAGGCCAAACAAAGTAGTTTCGCTTTCACAACGAAGCACACAGCGCCTTCACGACATGGTGGCGGCGGCAACAATACTACAGCGAGTATAAAAGTTACGCCTTCTTTCTTTGCGTGAACATTTGGGCGGCATTATGCAAATCTTCCCAGATAGTGACGTAGGTATGTGGGGGCGTGTTGGAACGAGCCGTTTTAGGTAGGTGTGGCTGACTCTTGTCTCTGTGACAGAGGAGGCAAACATCAGATGACCTCTTCTGAGTGACATGAGGATAAGGTATATGAGTTGTTTTTTTGTTTGATGTGGTACATTTTTAGCATGAAAAGTGATTCACAGGTGAGAATGTGCAGTGGAGAAGTGCTTTATGCCATGTTTATGCCATTTTCTCTTCTCCATTCCCCAGCCTCCCTGTGCTGCCTAATCCACAAACGAACATGAAACCATGTCATGTCGCGAGCCCTTTTTTGTTGGACACATGTTCTAAGATATCTGGGAAATCTGACTTTATTTATATTAAAACGAGGCAATTAGTAGATCCTCCCTAAGAAGTCGGGGACATTAAATTGCCTCCTTAAGAAGCGTGCATATAAATGGGTGACCCTTTGTGACCTTGCAATTTCAGGAAATGAATGGCCATTTCCCCCTCTAACTCTATTAACATTTAGCACTGCAATTTCCAGTTTTTTTCCTTAAATAATGACAAACGGATAAATCTTTATAAATCAAGCCCTGAGTTGAGTTCAGCTCACTCCCTAATTGATCAATGGCTTCAGTCAAAGTGGTGAGCTCGTCCTTGGGCCTGCTGTGATTATAAATGGCTACCAACTAATGAGGGAACTCAAAGAACAAACCAGAACGACAACACCCCTTTCAGCCGACTTTGCTTTTTACACTTTCCACACCTTTAGTTCATCTGATTTTATTTTTAATGCAGGTACTAAACAGCTGAAATGTTTGTGTTGTTGATTTCTGTGATGCACTACCCCAAAACACAAAGATTTCCCTGCTGAAAATAAGCTGCTTTTTTTATTGAACTTCGAGAACTGGATAAATCGGACTGAAAAGCTCAATGGCTGAAATGAGGCATAATGACAACAGCAGAAAGCGATGAACAAATAGCATGCTCAGGGACAAATACTTTGTATATTATTGAAATGTAGCCAAAGCAATAAATTAAGCAAAATCAATGGTCATCTAATCTTGTGCTTGAAATTACTTTGTTAAAGGATGCAAGTCCCAACAAATCAAAGTAAAACTGAGATTAAAAATGCTATATAGTTGAGGTGAATTGACTTGAGTTTTGATCGTCATTGAAATATAGCAGCAGTCGTGTTCTTTTTTTCTGTTTATGTAAAATGTGTGTGCGTTAAAGTAACAGTGAAAATCCTATCAGAACATTTGATCTAATGTCTCATTTTATTTTTTATTTATTTGTAATATATTGTATTTCAGGCTTGTCTCGTTTGCCCATTGTCTGTAGTATTCATATATTTCACTTTTATTTATTTCTTTTCAAGTCAGTCTATTTTCATATCTCCATTGGCAGTGAATAAATGTACAGTTTCCCAAAATGGGAGGCAGTAATACATGAGAATGAAGCAATTTTCAAAGACTACATGCTATTGTAGCACAAAATGTTAAATGATACAGATTATTTTCCTTAATTAATTTGATTGATTGTCAAACGGCTTCAGTCAGTGGAAAGTAGATGGAAACTTTGTACAGACATCATTAGTTTTTCCCCATTTAAAGATTAATCATGAAAAGCTCTGGCTCTTTAATTCTGTAATTTGTATATTTAATGGGGTGCTGCAGAATCTATGACCGTAATTAGCATTTCCTGAAAACTCATTAATACACAACAACGTGATTAATGCCGCAATAATACTAACATGACTGAAGTTATTCAGGTTATGTACATGCAATTCTTGCATAAAAGAACTCGGTGAAAACAGGCTACATGTAGTGTTATAAAAATACTAGTGCTATCACGATTAATCACGATTAATCGCATTCAAAATAAAAGTTTTTGTTTACATAATATGTGTGTGTACTGTGAATATTTATTATGTATATATATATATATATGTACACACACATGTATATACATATTTATTTTAGTCTCTCTCCATATTTGGTGGGTGCATTACCCTGAGCACTGTGTCCTAAAGTGCTGATGCAGTCCTTGTGTAAAAGTGCTTCACATCTATCCCATGTCTTAGCGTTAGTCTTGAGACCCACAGAGGTGAATCTCATTCCTCATCAGCTCGCTCAGACCGGCCCTGCGCCTGAGAGACCTCTGACCACAGCTTTTCTGGACAGGCCTGTCAGTGCGTACAGCACCACGCTGCTCCACTGGGATCTCAAATCCCACAGATGTCCCTTTAGCCTCCACACTTAATTAATTTGATTGATTGTCAAACGGCTTCAGTCAGTGGAAAGTAGATGGAAACTTTGTACAGACATCATTAGTTTTTCCCCATTTAAAGATTAATAATGAAAAGCTCTGGCTCTTTAATTCTGTAATTTGTATATTTAATGGGGTGCTGCAGAATCTATGACCGTAATTAGCATTTCCTGAAAACTCATTAATACACAACAACGTGATTAATGCCGCAATAATACTAACATGACTGAAGTTATTCAGGTTATGTACTAAGCAGATTAAATCCAAATAGCCCTGTTTGTTTTACTTATAGCTGATATGATGTTTTTTGGCAGAGAAAAATATTTTGGGATAAACATGTTTGCCATCAATTCCCATTATCCACCAACTGCCAAATATATCCTTGCTTTATTTTTTTTTTTGTAATTGTTCAAACAAAATGATTTAATAAACGTAGAATTTGGAATAATGTTACTGTATATGTATGTGTGTAAATATATATATATATATATATAATTAGAGATCTGCTCTGCTGAACCTACAACTTCTGATCCAGGTTCTCCCCCACCACCCTCTGTAGGACTGAGACTGTCTGATCAACATGAGACAAGATCTCTGTGTTCTTTACAGAATAACTTCTTAAGGGCTGGATTAAGGTGCTCTATCCCCATGATAAAGTCAACCATACATTTGTCATGGTAAATATGTGATTGAATAAAAATAGCATAATAATTCAGACATTCACATTTCAAATACATTTTTAATGAGGGTTTTAAAAAAATAAGTACATTCTTATTTTAGGCAATATAAGGTATGTACAGTATATAAATAACGTATATCTACCCACCACACTTATAAAACTATATACAGGTGCATCTCAATAA